ATAACCACAATTTTTCTCCATGAGCATGCGATTGCTTTCATATGTATATCTCCAACCATGTTCGAGTCCTCTTCCATGAACATTTTCCGGGATATGCAGTATGAAAAATTCGGTTTGTATGGGAGGTGCCACGCCCCTTTTTCTAATATCCCCAATTTTTCTTCGTGACCATGTGATTGATTTTATAAATCTCCATACCAAGTTCCAGTACTCTACCATAAACACTTCCAGAGATATACAGTATGAAAATTTCGGTTTGTATGGAAGGTGCCACGCCCCCTTTTCCAATAACTACAATTTTTCTCCATGAGTATACGACTGTTTTCATATATCTCCATACCATGTTCTAGTACTCTACCATGAACAATTCCAGAGATATGCAATTAAAAAATTCGGTTTGTATGGGAGGTGCCACACCCCCTGCACTTAGCGGTATGAAATATACTTTACATCCGAATCTCATACCTACCATATATACACAAAAAATTTCATAAAGACCGGTCGAGTCGTTTAGGAGGAGTTTGAACACTAACACCGTGACTCGAGATTTTTATATCGTCGTTTAAAGTGAAAACCGCGTATCAAGAAAATGCAAAACCGCGTATGTGAGGTTGTATAAATTATTTTCTGGAGAGTAAAAACACTCATATTTCAAAATGATTCTCTTTTTTATAAAGAAATCGCATTTCTGGCAAGTATATATCAGGACGAATGGATAAGGTTTGAGCCAAGAGCTTGTGTGAGCGAATCCAAATTTTGGCAGCCAGTGTCAGTTACGCGGTTTTGCAGAATGACGATACGCGGTTTTGTACTTTAAACGACGATATATTAGATATCAAACATTAAATAAGCAAAAGACAAATAGCCAAAACTGAACAAAATATCGCACACCTATTATTTAGTGGACCACTGTATGTATGTATATATAAAAAAATTATAAATAACATTTCTCTTCGTCTTTAAAAGAAAAAATTGTATTCAATATTTCCTTGTTCGTAATTTCTATATCTCTGTGGATGTTAAGTAAAGCTAAACCATTTAATCTTTGTTCCACAGTTTTATGTCGTAATTATGATTTACTAGTGAACCCGCGTGGCGTTAAAACGCCCAAAATTGAATTTCAAAAACTTGAAAAATATTCCAAACTAGCAATTACCCGGCGTGCTTCGCTGCGCCTTAAATGTATTTTTGTGTTGTAACTCTCTCCCAAAACTCTTATGGCCTCGTTTACAAAATATATTTAAAGAGCTTTATGAAGTACGATGTTCAAAAAAA